CCGGGAGATTCCACCGGCACCCCTCCCTAGGACTCCTTACCGACTTCCCTAAAGAGTCACGGGGGGGCATCAGGTCTTACGTTGATGGTGGCATCAATGGTGATCCACATCGCCGTACAAAGGACCCCTCAACACCTGCCCCCGCATCCATATCCACAACCCCCTCCCCTCCTCCGACACACAACCCCCTCCCGTCTGAGTCCATTTATAAACATGCACAGACACATATACCGACATACGGGGCCAGCACGGGGGCCTCACGGTCTTTGGAGCTTCTACTGGGCCGCAAAATGACGTTCACTTCCCACCCCAACACACCGCAGCACCTTCCCTTCGAAATCACGTGCTAACACTCCAACCCAAGCATAGCGTGACACATATACTTGCATACACATACGTGCACATGCACATTCACATACATTCACATTCACATACATAGACATACACATACGTGCACATGCACATTCACGCACACACCATCTCCGCCCCCACCTTACCCGATACACAAAGACCGAGGAGACGTCATTGCGGCCCATGGCCGCCCGGAGGGATGGCGAGTCCGTCACCGGCACTCCGCCCGCATAGCAGTCCACCGCCGAGGGCCTTGCGTCGCTAGGCAGCAGCAACACATTGCTAAAGCTGACGGCAGCTTCTGGGGAGCTGTACGACACCACTCGCTGGAGACCCTGCGAACTCACGTGGTACCGGTCGGTTGGGTTCCGGAGCAAGAGGGGAATTTAGGGATGCAGTTCGTGTCGTGCGGATTGCCGTTTGAAAGGTTGGGTGAGGAAACCCAGATCGGGATGAAAACAGAGGTAAGCCAACTTGAAGCCTAGGGTTTGGGGTTCAGGAAAAGTGATGATGTGCAGAGGAGGACAGGGCAGTGTGACGCAACGGGGCCGTGGGATTGGGGATGTTCTGGCGGTCAGGTAGGGAAAGAGCGGGACGAAGGGCCCCGCACTCAGGGCCGGTGTAAGGCCCTGCCAGCTGCGATGGCAACAGGACTTCAGTAAGGACTGAAGTTCGATTCGGAACTAAGGAGCCCGCATGCAGTCTTGTGAAGAAATCACACATCTTCGTAGGATCGACAGGCGGTAATCACGTTAATCGGGCGCTAGCTTACCGATCCAAGTCCGCCGCTTAGCTGGGGTTCAAGAGTCTCCAAAAAGCCATTTACTGACCAAAAGCGAGAGATATTGGCTAGGGTGCGAAAAGGGGCTATTACAGTTACGTTTTCAAAAGCGAGGTTCAAGCTGCTGCCGTTGAAGGCTGGAAAAGGACCAGAGCTGATAGGAAACACTGGCGCGCTGCTGGATTCCAGTACACCTTTTTTGTAAAAAACCGTGACATCCCGAAGCATAAGTGAAGCATTTTCACCCAGCCCCATAATCATGGTATTAGGAGAATGTAAAATAAGCGATCCAGGCCCAGTGATAGTAACTCTGCCTTTCAGAGTGGCCGACTGGTCGCCTCGCCAGACCCAAGGCGAACCCCTGAGAGAAACGGTCGCCTGGTTAGACTGCAGCTGCTGCCATAGGTTGGCCTCGGATATCGTCTGGGCAGGGGCAACCCCGATGCATCGGAGCACAATTATTGATAGCATACACGCCGTGAGCCGACTAAACCTGCAACCCAGCAAACTCGACCGGTCTCCATTGCTCATGGTAACCTGCTTCCGCGCGTTCTTATTCTAGTGCATGTTCATTACGGTTATGGCACCCGGCTATCACATAACTTCACATCATGGGGCAAGTTCAGACCCTGCTGAGTTATAATACTGGCCACTGGTTGAGTAGGATAAGGTAAACAAACACTGTTAGGTCAGGGCATGGCGACGGTTGACTTGCTATGGTCCCTAGCCACATTGTACCGCACCGGACATGGAGAATGCATGTGCGACCTATACCCACAAGGTTGTGCTTAGTGATTGTAAACTTCTGGTGCAGAGGAAAGCATGCATAAGCCGTAAGTGTTTTAGGTCCTGCAAAAGCCTAGAGAGGACGTCGAGTCTCGTAACCTGGTCAGCATTTGCCTGACAGGACCTGGCAAGTACAGACTGAATACTGTATTGGGAGGTGTACATTGCACTTCGGCAGGCAGAGAGAAGTGGCCACGTTCTTACAAAAGAGGGACCTCTGGCAAAGTTCAGAAATGCATGTCCTGCCATGAATCTCTTTGCTTCCATACGAACCTAGTCCAGGCAACTGATCGTGCGTCCATTACGTCGGGCGGTACTCCGTAGTCCATACCAGAACAAGGCCAGTGAGTTTGCCACCTACCTGGGTAAGCAACAAACCTGCCCATGTTTGAAACTCATATGGTCGGTTGGGCGAATATAAAGCAATCTTTTCGTTACGTAACGTTTATGTTACTCAGCTTACTACTCGGCTTATGAGAGTCCTTACCGTACGTGAATCTGACCCTGCTCAGCTTGCACGGCAAGAACAATTGCACCATTTTTTTGTCATTAAGCCGAGTAATAAAAGTCTGTTCAAACCATTTGGCCTGTCGCGCAAGACCACAACATGCCTGGTTGCGCGTAAGCTTACAGCACGTGGAGTTACATCGCTTCAGCAGTGGCGAAATTATTCGCGCAGGGTGACGTACGGACGCAAACACCGGGACCACGACCTACCTTTTAACCTATCCCGCCCAGCGGGCTACACCCCAGGAGGGTGGGAGGATGACCAGCAGCACCAAGCGAAGCAGCACCGCAATCACAACCCCCCAGTGCGGACTTGTGTAAAAACGTGCACAACTTATGAAACAAACCCGACAAAACAGACCACACGTGCCAAATGTTGCCACAGCCCCCCTGCTTCCAATCAATCGTCTAAATGTTTCCTCAACCCTGTTTCCTTCTGTCTATCCTTTGTGCAAATTAGGAACCTTTCCTCATCACTTGTAATAGAAGCACTCGCAACCGCTCACGACCAACGCTGCAGCTGCAGCGCTTCAGAAGGAGCAGCCTCACCGCGTCTCACCACATTACTCCCCGAGCATATCACCGCACGTAGCACAACCCCAAGAAAGCCCAGCAGGGCTCCCACTTCAAGCCCTCCCTTCCCTCCTTTCTTCTTGCTTATTTCTGGCGTATCAGTCTATCCTTGGCATCAACTTCACTCGTTCGTGGTTCGTCTTCCCTCCCCTCCCGCCTAACCCAACCCAACTGAAATCCAAATCCAATCCAACCGGATAGGCAAGGGGATCCTGCTGGATTAGAGAAGTTCCGTACATTTCCACCAGGTAGGAAGCCATCAGCCTGCAGCAACGGCGAAACGTGGCCGCGAAAGGGGGGAGAGTCATGTAGTGCATGAAGCAAGGTGTCTGGGGATGTGGAGCCCCGTGGAGGAAAATGTGCATTACAGACATTACTCTGCATGCATGCATGTTCGGAAATCAACGCCGGATGGGGACGCCGCCGGGCAAAGGGCCCGAAAGGACGCTGCCGAAGACGCCCGAGAGCTGGAAGGGCCAGAAGGCTGGGAGCTTTTACACACGCACACACACACCCCTTTTCGACACAGGTATTATGCACACAGAGTGCATCCACAACGTGACTTACCAACCATTACAAATCTCATTCATTTACCCAGCAGGACCCACCCACCCGCCTCTGCGCCCACATAGACCCACATCGGTTCTCATGAAGAGGTCCTCTGCACCCACTGCCAATCGGACACCCGCCATCGCCACCACCTTGGGCACCCACACGCCCATACACACACAAGGCGCACATGGCCGGGCGCGGGCAAAAGAACTGTGCAGCCGCTGCCGCCGCCACCGTACGACACAACAGAACAGCCCAAGGGTCTTCTCCCCGATTGGCATTTAAGCAGCCGTCGTCCTCCGCTGGGAATCGACCATCCACGACTGCTGCTACTGCTGCTGCTACAACTGCTGCCACAACTGCTGCGGGGGCTGCTACTGCTGCAGGCCGTTAGCTCTGCGTCCCTCTCCGCTCAGCGCCTCCCCGCCACGTGCGCCTTCTCGTACCGACTGCTCAGCACCCCGATGCGGGGCGGCGGACCGATACGGAGGTACGGCACCACTGCCTCAACCAACTCAGCTTGGCGTCACCTCCGCCGCGAACCTCCGTACGCAGCACAACCACAGCACAAGCAGCTTCTGTTGGCAAAGCCGGTCTATGTACGACTATCTTCCCATCTGCACCAGGCCTCGCGAAAGCTACCTATTCGGTTGGCTGTGGTAGCGCCCTTTCCCCCTTCCCACCTGCACCAGAGCCACCAGCAGCAGCAGCAGCAGCAGCAGCAGCGCTCCTGGTTTATGCGGAAATGGAGACTGCCGACTCCAGGGAAGGCGGTTTATTGAATCCACTGACAGAGCGACCGAGTCCCCCTGACCTGGCTGACAAGTTGGCGGGAGCGCTCGTGCGGATGACCGGTCTCCACACGCCCTGACGTGTTCAAGGACAGTCGCTGCCGCAGCTGAGTCGCCGCTTGTCCATCATCCACGAGAACGGCGTCTGCGCCTGCGGCAGTGAGGGCTGCAGCCCTCGCCTGCTCAACCCACCCTACACCACGACAATCTGACCTCTGCTCTAGGGCTCTGGCATCTTCGTCAGGACCCAGCTTCCTCTGCTGCGCTCATGGTACTCCAGCTGCATCCTCCACTGCCGCCTCTGCTGCTACTGCGCAGCTGTTGCGGAGCTGCTGCGGCAACTAGGCGGCACAATGGCTCCTGGTGCTCTCCGATGCATGGGAAGCTCAGAAAGGAGGAGACGCCGCACGCTGCACATCGCCGTCACGTCTCCTTGCATTCCCACCCCCCGCCAGCCTGCACGGACTTGACGACACGGGCTCTCAGCACCCGCCTGGGTTTGCTGAGCGGCCGTCATACCATCGTTACCAACCACAACGAGGGGGGTTGAGAAGTAGAGCGCGGAGCAGCACATACAGACCGCAACGATGATGATGTCGCCTATGTCGGGCCTATCGCTCTCAGTGGTCCCGTCTGACTGGCCGTCTGCCTGGGGGTCCGCCGCTGCGTGCCTGGCATATCGCGTTACTGTTCTGGAAATGGGTGTACCAAGGCCAGGCCAGCCCAGCCCAGCTCGGCTGTCCTCCGAGCTCCTCAGCGCTGCCGCCTGATTTGAACCCCTGTGCGCGCGCACGTGTGTGTGTGTGGGTGTGGGGAACGTGTGTGTGCGTGCGCACGCACGTGTGTGTTGGTAGGGTGTGGGGAAAGAGGGGGAAGAGGAATGAGGAACATGTGCCAGAAGCAACCATGCAGAGTTTCATTGCGGTGGAGCAGCAGTAGCAGTAGCATCAGGACTATCAGTGGTGGCACTAGCAACACCAGGAGGAGTGGCACATACACTACTGTAAGAATTAGGGGGGAAATCCGTAAACTTGAGTCATGTAGTCCGTTGCGTGTGTGTCCTGGTTCCCATTATGAGAGGCCATGCGGAATTATGAGAGGCCATGCGGGACTAATCCAAATCCCAGCATCAGAGGTAGAGGAAACCCAGGACCCTGACTGGCCCTGAGGGCTCATAACCTCACTTCGCCGTCCCGACTGATCCACAAAATCCTAAACGCTGAGGCTGGCCACCATCATCCGCAGCTTATTTATCCTCTGGCCCTAAGCAGTCACAAGTCCTAAGGACCCACCCACGCTCTCCACCACGCTGGGCACTCCTGGGATGGCTAGCTTCCGAATGGTGAAGTCCACTTGCCGTACTCTAGGGTGTCGCTGCAGTACGGCACTCACTGCGCGGTGCGCCACTGCCTCCAGCAGTTTGCAGGGCGCCCCTTCAACCACTGATTTGACGTCCCTGGAGGGGCCAGCCCAGCCGGCGGGTCAGGCCCTTGTGAGATATTCAGTAGACCCGAATGAAGCGCATAGGGATAGGAATTCTCGGGGGCTAGCGAGGGCGGCTTTTGCAGGTCAACATCGCAGCAAACTGTGGATGCACAATATCACGTCGAGCAACCCACCCGTAAACGGCTGCATAGTTCACGGTGTCCTCCAGGTCATCGCTGAACCCAGCTCGGGAGGTGTTGACTTGGAGTTTAAGATCGACCACAAAGCTCTGACCGAGTCGAGTTTCCTGAGCACAAGCGCAATCAGTCAAGAGGCGAGTTCGTTAAAGGTCAACTAAAGTCACGTCAGGTCAACAGAAATTGTGGGCTTGAGGGCAATGTAGCCACAGCCTGTGCTCTTTCGTGATAACGTTAGGAGTGCGTTGGCAGCGTTATGGCATAATGCACTCACGATGCCAAAAGTCGGCTGCGGAGTCGTAGAATGGGGTTTGAAAAGCGCGTGTTCGGAAAATAGATAGAGGGTTTGGAAAGTGCAACTGCATTTACCTCGGGGAGCACGCCGTGATGGCCGTGAAAGCGCATGCCGGTGATATGAATCCAGTCGCTGTCGCCGATCTGGACAGGAATGCTATGATGGCTATAATTACCTCCTGGAAAGGATGTGCAAAACGACGAGCAGGTAAAGGACGGACGCCAGCACCTACACGCTGCGGCGTCCTGGAGGATACTCATTTGGAGACTCGGAATGACTCTCAGTCTTGAAATCCTAGGGATCATGGTGGGGCGCAACCGAAGGACGACGCGCGTGAATGGTAACTAAAAGTGTTCTATATAAGGGCGAGACTTAGTACTTCACGGGAAAGTAAAGGAAGCATACAGTCCCCTTACCATTACCCAATTGAGGTTTCGTATCGATATCTGGTTCTTTAGGAAAGGAATTCGGGAGGGAGGACGAGAAAACAAAGGGCCCGCGTACGGCTGTTAATGTGAGTCTATTCCTTCGGTCCGAACATGTGATTTCTTCCCTTTCGCTGCGCCTTCCAGCCACCGCCTCCTCCCCAATTTTTTCTTAGTAGTCGACACAATGTCTGATCACGAGGTTGAGACTTTTGAGAGCGCCGACGCCGGCGCCTCTCTGACCTACCCTCAGCAGGCCGGCACTGTCCGTAAGAACGGCTACATTGTCATCTCGGGCCGTCCTTGCAAGGTGTACAGGAGCATCAGCCAATTGGGAAGAATGTTGTGGTCTCTGCGAGGTCAAGAACTGAGCGCGCGCGTTTCTCTGGCAGGTGGTGGATGTCTCAACTTCCAAGACGGGCAAGCACGGTCACGCTAAGTGCAACTTCGTTGGTATTGATATCTTTACCAACAAGAAGTATGAGGAGATGGCGCCATCTTCCCACAACGTCGAAGTGGGTGCACGATGCTGCAGGCGGCGCAATTACTGTTAGAGGGGGACGTGCCGCACTGCATGGCATGGATTGGGACGCTGGCCTTACCACTTGCTTGGTGGTTTATTTGCAGGTTCCTAACATCTCCAGGAAGGAGTACACGGTCATTGACATCACCGATGAGGGCATCGTAAGTTGGATGATTTCTTTTGGGCAGTTTGCTTTTATCCTTTTAGTCTTAAGGGCTGCTGTATATTGCGGTGATGCTCAAAATTGGGATAGTGTTGTTCGCTTAGTTGCAACTACAGATCTCGCGGTTGTTGTCCGAGGTCTGGCTGGCTAAGGCTGTCCGGCAACCTTTATAGGTGTCGCTAATGGACGAGTCGGGCAACACGCGCGATGATCTGTTCCTTCCCAAGGGAACTGACGAAGCTGAAAAGCTCGCTGAGATTATCAAGGACCACTGGCAGAACGACAAAGAGATGGCGGTCACTGTCATCAAGGTGCGAGCTGCTTTGAGAAGGGTCTGTGCTGGTGTTCGAAGCGGGTATGGTCAAAACCCGTGACTCATGAGGACGCGGGTATTGCATTGCTATATAATTGGGCTGACTCCCCTTTCCCTCCTGCCTATGTATGAATCTGTTGCGAAGGCTATGGGCGAGGAAACGATCTCATCGGTGAAGGTGAGGGGGGGTTTCATGGACCAACCAGCATTCCTGTGTATTATGCTTCTATTGTTAAGCAATTTAAGGAGGGTCCTGATTTCTTGTTGCTGGGTGAGAACATCATGACTATATCTCGTGAGACTTTAAGGCGTCAGGGTGGCATTATTTCATATCGTCCACCTCTGTGCTGCCAGATCATTAATTTCTTCACCCATTCCCCTTCCCCCTCAGGTCATTAACGATACCAAGGCTTGAGCAAGTCTGCACGTTGGATGTCGCAGCATGGGCGTGGTGTTTGGTACATGTCCTTGGCATTCGCTCCCGAGACATCTCGGCGCGACTGTCTCCCGTGCAACAATAGCTCAGATGTGGTGATGGTTGTGGCGCAGCGCCGTCCACTGCACTGAACTTCATTGTTTTTCATCACAAGGACTGCTTTGCGTGTCTGTGGTTGGCGATGCAGGAGGACGGACGGGGGCGTGTAAATGATATGTGACTGGCTGATTTGATCTCGGCTGCGTTTCGACGGCTTTCCCATACCTGTTGGTATGGACGTTTTGCTCACACTATCAGGACTGGATCTTTCGCAAAATTTTGGGTTGCATGACATATACACACACATAACTCACCCTGACGGGTGGCAGCGTTGGAAGCAACGAATTGGGTCACAGCTATGCTGTGCTGTAATCTTAAAGGGTGGAAATTAAAAGAGTCCTAAATTCCATGCATGTCGGAGGCACGTAGTACCAGCTCTACTAATGCACTGTGAATGTACGGTTGTCGTACACAAAAGCCTCAGATAATGTAGCGACAATCCATTCTTCCTAATGAACATAGCAAAATGCTAGCTGATCTTAAAAATCTACCAGCACGGTGCTTGGCTTCTTGCAGCCTAGTCTTCCGAACGGAACCAACTTATTACTTATGTACCCACGGTTCTCAACCACCCGAAGGTCAAATAATTCATACTGATCAAAGCACATCGGCATTACTTCGTATCGTAAGGAAGCGGGAAAGTTCTGCGGTCACCCTTAAAAAGTGCGCGGAATTGAAGGATGGAAAGCGTCCTCATGAGTCGATGGCTGCAGGCGGGGCTGAAGGACAGCCTGCAAAGAAGCTGAACACTGGCGCAGCAGCCGTAGCCGCCAAGGCAAGCCAGGTATCCGGCCTATCGCAACACCTGACAACGACATCTTTGACCGCTGAGGAGCTGAAAGCGAAGACGGTTCCGCAGCTTAAGGAGTTGTTACGGGCTCGCGGACTGGCCGTCTCCGGTGCCAAAGACGAACTCGTTCGCCGCTTAGTCGACCACCAACGGGCAAACAAGTACAAATAACTCGCCCGGCAACTCGCCGGGCGTAGGAGCAATCGGAGTGGTCATGCATCACAACTTCAGGGGTGTGCGTGCGAAGGCCAGGGCGTTGAGGAACTCAATGCAGCACGACGGCGATGGCCGCGCAGCCTGCAATCCTGGCTTATCTGCGCTAGAGCATTGTGCCACTGTGCCTGCTTAGCAGGGCCTCGAACATTCCTGCGGTACCGGGTGTGGAGAAGGGACGTCTTTGGGGATAGGGTGACGTGACCAACCGTACTGCCAACCATTCAGCGCTGCTGCTTTGGAATGAAACTTAATAATTTGCTGACGGGGATCTAACGAGCCGTCACGGCTTGGGAGGCAAGACCAGCTTACCGTACATATCCTGGTGCATGGGACCGAAGATATCTCTTGACCGGCGGAGAGTCTCCTCACGACTTTGTCGCCCCGCGTTGAGCTCCTTGATGTTGTGCAGGAACTGGCAAACGTGGGTTGAGCACATGGGGATAGGGGTCAGTGACGAGGTGTGGATGCGAATGGCACTCGTGGCGTGTGGCGATTGGCATGCAAATCAGGAAATTCACGACGATTTTCTGTGTGCGTTTGATGGGATTGTATATGCGCCGCCGCTTTGATGGCGGCATTCAAGCTTTCGGACTTCTGAAATCTGAAACCTCCCATCGCCGCCGTACAGGACTGGATGTCCGAATGATTAAGGAAAGGGGACGACGTGAAATTACGAGAATCTATGCTAGGGGACGGGTCAAAAAACACTTCAGCGATATGCGTCGATGCCTCTGGCGGAACTGGATTGCCTATTGCGCAACACGGGATGGATGATATCCATCGACAGGCTTGACCTCGCCAGATTTGACACGTACTGCATGCGTCCATGAAGTTACACAGCTCGCTCACCTGGCTGAACTGCTCGTAAGACAGTTGGGCTCTGCAGCAGGGGCAACCGATAGGGCGGGATGTTACCAAATACAACGACACACTACCGCGGCCAGCACTCAGAAATTGCAATGACATCACCAACGATCCCCAGCGATCTTCCATTGAATTTTCCAACCAACAGTTGAGGTCCGTAACATCGCCTTCTGCCATACCGCCCGGCTGCTACCTGGCTTGCTTAAAAAATTCTTTTCCGTCGATCCGCGGCGGTGAACCAGGATTCCCATACTGCGCATGCGGCATAGGTGGTGGGGGCGGTGCAGCGTACTGCGCCGAGCTCGTGGCCTGCGGTGTGGCTGCGCCGTACATGGGCCTTCCGGACGTGCTCGGGTACGCCGGGGTTGCCGCTGGCGCCATGCCTGTTGTGCGGGCCGAAGAACACGTGTTGGCGCGGTGCGCACAGGCCACGGTAAGCCTGGACTTGCAGACTCTTTCACTGCCCATGAACCGCTTTGTTCAGATATAAACGCCGATGTGGTTGCGCCCTTAATCAGCATGGCAAGTGCTGATTAAACTGAATAAGCTGTACCGTTCTGGTGAATGTTTTTCCTATAGGCCGACGCCTCCCCGCTTTCATGGCGTTATCAGGCCGGCAGATTTGTAAATCCACCTCGCCGGTGCCGCCAGCAGAAACGCACAGGTCATCTATGCCATTAGGCGTGACCTACTCCTTGCAAAACTTACGAACGGTGTAGGCGCTCGGTGGCTGCATGGCCGGCGGTTTGCTGATGCTGCTAAGCACCTCCGAAACCAGCCGTTCACCAGCCACATCCGCAGCTGCTACGCTGGGCTCCAGCCCAGGCTGGCGTTCCCAGTGATGCGTGTGCCACGGGGAATGGAATCGGCAGAAGGGATCAGTCACGAGACCCGTCAGGTCTCAATTCTATCCGTAAGATAAGGATGCAGTGGCGAAAGTTGGCGATGCAGAGTTCAGAAGTGGACTGCGCACTAACAGCATAAGTAATTGCGAACACAAACGAACGCATACGTCACTACATCACAACCACTACATGCAACCCTCTCCGCTATGAAACCCAGCCTAGGTGTAACCAAGGGGGCCCCCATCGTGGCATTTGGAATCTCCTGGTCACCGACCCACCGGCCGCATCGCTAGCCCGGCCAACACGACCCCAGCTCCGCCCCAAAGCCCCATCTTATCACCGCTTGTCTACCACTGGTGCCCTACCTCGTCCTCGTTGTTAAGGGTGTTGAGCAGGTTCTTCTTGAAGGCTTCCAACCGAGCAACATCCTTATGTAACCTTTTGACGGTATCCGCTAGAAGGGTCTTTTCACTTTGCAGCCGGTGCGCCTCCTCTATTGCTTGCTTGCTCTACAAAGCAAGGCGAACGAAGATGTATGTGCGTGGGAAGTCGCTCATGTACTTGCCAACCCACGCTGGTGGGGGTATGCACGCTAAGACACTCCTTACAGAGTCTCGCTTCTCCCGTGGGCCCCCTAACCTTTGCGGCCATGTCCTGCAGCTCCAGCTCGAGAGTGGACACTCGCCGCTCGAGCATCTTTATGTGGTTCTGTTTTTGTACGAGGGCGTCCCGCAGCTGCTGACCTTCCGCCTCCAGCTGCGCAGCCTTTGACGCTAAGGCATGCTGCGCTATTTTCGATGCTAGCTCCAACTGAGCAAAAGGATCCACCGGTAGCACGGAAGTGACCTACAAAGGTGCGCAAGGAGTGGTCAAGATGTTGCTGTTTGCTTCGCTTGCATTATAATCTAGAAGCTACGAACCTCTGCAGGTAATCCTGAAGCCATAGGTCCTACATTTGCAAAAGATGCCATGCCTAGGCCAGGGAAACCGAGGTAGTCTGCTAATGGAAAAATTTTACAAATGTGCGCAATCCGCTAGGTATAAACTCAAACGTTAAGGAAGCAGCGTCGCAATAGACGTCTGGAAATTAATATGTTATGTCAAGGACGTCTTGGTGACTATCTGCCTTCACAACAGCTGGTTGACCCGGCCGTTGACCTCCCGTACGTTGAGCTTGAAGAGCATTTGAGTGCCCTTGCACACAAGATTGCAAATGGTAATACGTTCATAAAGAAAAGGGAAAGGCAGTCGCTCGAGACAGGATCCGCACTTGCGCACCATCGCCTTCTGTTCCTTTGTAAGTTTCTTTATCCAAGGCCACTTCATCAACTAAGGCACGAGCCATCCTAAGCACTTTCTGAGTGCCACGCTCCACACGGGGTCACAAAACATAGGGTGCACCTCTTTTACGCGGTGAAAATACGTTTAGGCCTGTGCCTAAAAACATACATGAACCTATGGTTGGAGCCATGTCAATCACAAAGCCGTGCCTGGGTTCAGTGCGGCTCTTCCGACATCCGCAGCGCACCTATGTTGCTCCGTCCACCCATACCATTGGCCATATGCAAGCAGCCGGGAGCACAACATTTCGCGTTGTGAAACGCGCAAACTTCAACTGACACGCGCTTTGAGTTTCCCCGCCAACTCCTGCCGCCACCTCGTGCCACACCACACACCCTTCAAGCACCTATCTCCTTCGACAAGTTCCCACAAGCATGTGCGAGAACACGCGCATGCGTGTGCGCTTCCTTCCCCCTCCCAAACCTCTCTCAGCAACACACAACCCTAGTAATACGGCGCCACATAATCGAGCTTATAAGCCCCAAGCTTCCGGGTCCTACGCGCAGACTGGTCATGTCCTGGTCTACGTTGTCCCTTCTTAATTAACCCCCACGCGTTTCCCAGCGTGGGGCGGCCACAACCTTAGGCACTGCCACCTGTCCCACTACCGCCATAGACCAATGCTGATGCAAGCGTCTCCACCGCATCTGAGGGCGTCAGAGGCTCCGGTGCGGCTTCCCCTGGGGCACTCTCGGCGCCCATGCCCCCATCGCCTCCGGTGCCGGCGGGGGCGCTGGATGACGCATGCGCCGCCGCCGCAGCAGCAGCGGCGGCCGCGGTCGGGGCAGTGCCACCGCTGACGTGCTTTGAATGGTGGCGCGCGCTGCGGAATCGTGCCGGCGCACCACCCCCCGACCCCTTTCCCCCCGATCCCGTCCCGTCGTCGTCGGGGCCGCCCAGCGCGGCAACCATCTCCGATGTCACCTTCGTTGGAACGACAGGTGTGCCGTACACTACCATTGACACGCCTTGCTGCTCCACCACCTCCTCGAGGTCCGCCACGTCCAAGCCCACGCACTTGGTGATGAACGTCAGTACGGCAAGCAGGTACTTGTTGTACCGCATCTGCGAAGACATGTACAGTAGTATTACCAAAGATATGCACAAAGAGGCGCGGAGATGCACATCACGCAGCAAGATGATTTCTTATCAGTGAGGTAGCTTCCAATCCAACAGCAAAATGCCGGCGAAGAGGGGAGTGGGGACACCATGACCGCGGCGTCGGGTAGAAATGGCGTAAAGAAAAGTGAGGTATGCTGGCTAGGGCCCCGAGGCAGCTGGGCCGACAAAAGGGAACGACAGAGACGCGCGCGCTTAGCAAGAAGCAGTCTGCAACGACAGTGAACGAACTTTATGTGCCACGAGTCCAAAACCCCAACCCACCCGCCCCAATCGCCCATTCACACAGAAACCCACAAATCACAAGTCGGAACGCTCGGCAGCTGCATGACAGCAGCGCCCTCCCAGGGGGATCACCACATTGAAGCCACATGCACCCGTGAGCCTGCACGGCGAGCGCTGAGATGACGCGCGCCCCAAAATGGGTTGTACGGTATCGCGTGCCCTGTGCTCAGCCCTGTCCCTACCGCGGCTGCATGAACCCCAAGCCCCGCACAGCCTACTACCGCCGCCGCCGCCTCTTCCGCAACGGCCAGCAACACCCCATCACCACAGCTGGCCCCTCCAGGCCCCAGCCCTAGGACCCACCATGCCCGCGCCCTTGGCAAAGGCCGCCACGTACTCCAGCACTGCCACCAGCATGGGCCGGTGCAGATACACACCGGCCTCCAGGAGGGACTTGACCTGGGGGGGGGAGGAGTAAGGGGGAGGGGGAGGGGGAGGAGGCGGGGTCGCAATGGGAGAGAAAGATTTAGGTGGCAGATGCGAAGGAGCAAACACCCCCCACCCCCACAACGACCCATGGGCAGTAGCAGCAGTAGCAGTAGCAGGAAGAAAGAAAGAAAAGGAGCTCTGGACCTCTGGGCCCCTTTCAAAAGGTCCTCTGCCTCCCCCTTTCAACCCAAACAAGGAAAACCACCAACCCAAAGAACTCCCCCATCCCCCCCAAAAAAACACCTCCTCTTCTTTCCCACACACCAGATTATCAGCATGACTCGAATCAGGGGGCCTGTCCTCGCATACGCCTCTCTGCATCTCGTCGCACAAGAACCAACCAGCTTCCCGGAATCCCCAAGCCCTAACCACTCCGTCAAACCCGCCAGTGGCTGGTCGCCTTTCCCATCCACCTCCTTGCCCTTTAACCCATCCACCTCCCCACCTCCCCAGGCCGCCACCAAACCAAGCAAAACACATTGCACCCCCAGCCCACACTCACCGCCGACTCCCAACCCTCAAACACACACACGCGCACACACACGCACGCGCACGCACGCACGCACATATCCATATCCAGATACATACTTCAGCGTGGGACCCGAACAGGTGCAACATAATGCATCCCCAGTGGGATTCCCCACACATACACCACACATCCCCACACACTCCCCAACACCCACACCCCCGCCCCTACATCCCCCCATCCCCAAACCCCATAAACAACCTAACCTTGGAGACCACCATGAGGCACAGCGGGTCGCTCATCCTCTGCACCTCCACCAGCGCGCACAGCTGGTCGTAGAAGCGCTGCAAGATCCGGATCTCGGTGGGCTCCAGAGCCTGAATCGCCTTCTGCTTCGTGTTGCGACGGGCCGCCTCCTGCGCCACCTGGTAGGCCTCCAGTCGCGCGTAGGGGCTCACCACCTTGCCGCCTGGCAGTGGGGGCGGACGTCAGACGGGGTTCAGAGGCAGCACAAGGGCGGGCTTGAGCGACATGGTGAGGAGGGGGAGGCGTCGAGTAGGCGGCACTCTTTCAAATTTCAGAATATCCGTGTCAGAGCAGTAGCAGAGCAGAGCAAGCAGTAGCAGAGCAGTAGCAGAGCAAGCAGTAGCAGGAGGACAACATGGGAGGGGGGTGGAAGAGTGGTGGTGGTATTCTAATGGTTGTTGCTGTGGTTGTTGCAGGTGGAGGCGGAGGTGGAGGTGGGGTGCAGCATATATGACGATGTGGGCGAGGATAAGATGTTTAAGGGTTCTCTCTTAAGCTGATCAGGGAGGGGAAAAGGAAGGAGCACAGAACTCAAGCCCTGCGCTGCCTCTCGCCGTGATCTGTCTTTTACCGTTGCGTCTATGGCTGATAAGAAAGCCACCACAGTCACTACAGCCGTCGCAGAAGCACCGCTGACCACCATCCACCATCAACAGAACTAAACAACTATATATATAACAACCATAAAATAACTGAAACAACTACAACGACCAACTACGGAGATGATGAGCGGCGCAAGGCATGATGAAAACTATGTTCCCCCATCAGCATATACCCCCCCCAAATCGTCACGGCAACTTTTTCGACTTATTTATTCAATTCAAACATTCAAACACGCACGCAACGGAGATCCTGAAGCCCGTCCTGGTAGCAGTATACTATACCGCGTACCGATTACACAGGGTTTAAATTTGTACCGACCGCGCGGCTTACCGGATGCGTAGGTGGGCATTCGGCCCTGCGCCAGGTTGAGCACCCCGAACAAAGTCGTGGACAGCCCAGCCGCGTTGGTGGGCTCGGTCCGCACGGTCGCACGGCCCTGCGCGCGCGAGAACAACGCCGCCTGCAGCTGCGCCCGGCCCGCCTGGCGCACCGCGACAAAGTCGTTGTGCCACTTGTACACCGGATTAGACTCGTCGCCGTACAGCGGCACCACAGGCTCCACCAGCGGCACAAAGGAACCGTCATTAGGAGAACCTGCGGCCGCGGCGGCAAATGAGGCTGGTTCGCTAACTTGGTGCGGAGGAATGTGACGGGGGGTGGGTTGTGGGGGGGTTGTGGGGCGGGTGGGTCGCGTGGGTTGGGTTGCGGGGTGGGGGGTTGGGGGTGGAGGGGTTGGTTTTAGGGTTTATGCTGCCCTCAACGCCACGTCGCGGTAGTTATGGTTGCTATGGCCGCCGCTCGCACTTCCCAAGATGATGTGCTTTTGAGCTGGCAGTGCAACATGGTACGGCTGCTACTGCTACTACTGCTACTACTGCAACGGCAGCCGCGTGGCTTAGCCGCCTTTGCTGTCGCGCACACCCCTTCCCTCCCTGCTGTGCTTTCCGCTGCATCCCTCTCGGGTTGTCACACTGCCCCAAGCCCCGGCTTGTCCTCTCTCAGCCGCCGCTACTGCCGAGACCGCCCCCCGCATCATTCCCGCTGCTACTGCTTCTCACTTAAGAAAGAGCTTTGCTACAGCCCCTTGCTCGGCCGGTTATTCCTGCCAGTCAAGCCCAGCTCTGTCTGGCCCCTACCACACGCCACCTTACCCCGCTCCCCTTACAGCCCGATGAGTACAGATCCTCTCCTCCCTCCCAGAGGACCCAGAGGACCACCGAGTTTTAAATACACACACACACACGCAGACGCACATCACGCACATCACGCGAGCAAGCAGGGGGCTCCGTTGAAGAGCCCAGCCCATCACCACATGCTCACACCAGCCGCGCTGCCACACCCACCCCGCCCAGCCTCGCGGCCCCTCCCAACGGTAAGCGACCACCACCACGACCATCACCACCATCACCACCATCACCACCATCACCACCACCACCACCATCACCACCATCACGACCACTGCCAACGGCAATAAAACGCCCTCCTCCGTGCCGCCACTAACATCAGAACACAGAAAAAAACCCTGTACCGTTTGTATCAGCAAGTTTAAGTTACGCTGTGTAACATTAGTACTAAAAAAATTAACGTCAGATACAGATACACAAACAGATACACACGCCCGCCCGCCTGCATGCCATTTTCAGCACACGTCCCTTACCTAGCGGCAATCCAGCTACAGCCACGGCCCCCGTGGCGCCCATAGATCCAGATGTCGTACCCTCGTGCGGCGGTGACGTGGACGCGACCGCGCCGTTCTCCAGGGAGGTGCGCCTGGGGCGGGGCGGGGCGGGGCGGGGGTGAGGTGAGGTGAGGTGAGGCCGAGAGGGACCAATGGGGATGAGGGTGTAGGAAAAGAGGTGTAGGGGTGTAACAGAGGAAATCCATCGCCAGGATATGGAAGAAGCAATTGTTCTTTTCCTTCTTCTCCTTCATCTTCATCGCGGTTATCAGCCTCCGCACGCGGTCGCCAATGTCAAGCAATGCCACGCAACACCAACCCCCTTCACGTCCCACGTCCCCATTGAAGCCCGCGCTAAAAGCCCCACGACCGGATTAAGGGTAGGGGAGAGGTTAAGACGAACCACTGGCGGAGGAGGAGGGGGGAAAGACGAACCACGAGCGAGTGAAGCTGCTGCCAAGGAAAAGGAAAGGGGGAGGGGGGACGGGGAAAGAGCTCCCCTCCCCCCTGGAGCCTACTCGGATGACACTTTCCCCGGGAACTGGTCAACAACTGGGCCCCTGCTGCTGCTGCTGCTGGCCGCCACTCCGCCTCCATATGTGGCGGGGGAGACGAGGGTTAAATGTGATTTGCTCCATTCTGGATCAATTGATGACACTGGACAAAAAGCCTTTAATAGGCCTCTACCTCATCCTTCCTCCCCTAAATGAACATGCTTAAAACATGCTTAGCGCAAAAGTGTGCGAAAGTAGTTGGCGATTGTGTGGTTTCGTGACACGTGTGGGAGCCCCAGGGAGCCTGTTCCCTTCAAAGGAGACACACGAGCCACTCACCGGCGTTCTTCATCTTGCGCCGCCTGGCCGGCCTGCTGGGTCAGGAAGAAAGTAGAGCCCTCGCCAACTCCGACGGCATCGTCGCCGGCGCCGCCACCGCCGCCGGTTGCGCCGTGGATGATCCGCCGCGCCGCCGGCGGCAGCGGCACAAGCTGACGCCGTACCGGCGGCGGCTGGCCGAAGGCGCGATGCGGGTCGGAGATCTCCTCCTCCGCCTCTCGCCGATTGACAAAGGCGCCGACGGAGGCGCGAGCGCGCGCTGCTCGTACATTTGCTGACGTCAGCACTGCCGCTGGGAAGGCTGCCTCCGCTCGGTCGCTGACGGTGAAGCGCATCACGGACTTCTGTTTGTTGACCGTGTCCTCCGCCTCGCGTGTTGCCGCACGGATAGCCGCCTCCGCCGGTGATAGATGCGAATCGGCGTCGGCGCTGCTGCCGTACCCCGGCAAGCTATCCGAGTCGTAGCCGGCGGCGGAGCCCGGCGAGCCCGGGCGGGCATCGCCGCCGCCGCCAGCGGCGGCGGCGGGGTTGCCGCTGCTGCCGCCTCGTCGGCGGCGGCTGCCGCCGCCGCCGCCGATGCCGGCACCGCCACCGGCCTGCTGCTGTGCGCCCGCCGCCGCCGCAGCGGCGGCGGACTGTTGTTGTTGGGAGGACTGTTTGGAATTCTTCCGCCGGGGCCTGATGTGTGTGCATGTATGTATGTATGTATGTATGTGTCAGGGAAAGGGCCGGCAGCGTTGACGTCACAACTCATGACCATCACCTTCCCGAGGGGGGAACCCCACGGCGCTTTCATTTGGGGGCATTTGCACTTGGAGCCGGGCCGGGTGAAAGCCTCGTGTACATATTATCTTGTGCGGAATCAAACGTGCGCACGATACACACCACCATGGGCGGCACATGTAAACACACATACACGATAGAGAAAACGCATAATCTAGAAGACCATACGGGCATAGACGCACATACATACATACATACATACATACATACATACATACATACATACATACATACATACATACATACATACCCGCGCTGTCCGTCGCGACTGCCCATCTTATCCCGGTTCAGATCCGGCAGGGTCTTCTCGAGCTGCATGGTGTTGTGTGGCGGTTGGGGGGGAAGGTGCATGGGAGCATGAGACAGGACTTTGAAATCGAGATGCGGGAAGCGGTCCTACCATACCCGAACACATCCTTGGGAATGCGGCATTTTGTGAAGTCGGCGGGGTTGGGAAGGGTTGGTTTACTGGGGCCCGTGGAGCTCTGGACAGCCGGACTGGACATGGAGCCGGTCTGGACAGCCGGACTGGACATGAAAAAAGCGATTTGTGGATAGGAAAGCGCGGCGGTGTGCATAGGGCCCGGAAATGAAAAAAAACGAAGGACGCAGCGCTTGGGAAGAGACAACCCGGACAACAAACCACCCTCCCCCCCAAAACAGACGAAGACACATCCGTTGGAGCAGCTGGGCAGCAGTCCCTGGCCACCAGTGTCAGGCCCGGTCAGGTACTTGTAACCTTCGCGCACGTACACACATACATACTTGCGCTCTGGACGTGATCTCTTACAACACTTCCACAGGTATGCACACGCGGGGGGAGAGGTAAGGTGAGGTAAGGTGAGGCCCGTAATTTCCCTACCCCCGCCACAGCCCGGGAATACGACGACTACACGCTTGGTACGGCACCCAGCTTGTTCAGAGCTGCTGTGGCTATCTTCAGGCCTGGTGCCGTCGGGTTCCGGTATCAGATCCGGTCGGTACGGCGATTACGTGATTGAGTCCCTGGTACGGTGATCCGGTCGGTACGGCGATTATGTAAAAAAAACAGGCTGAGCCACCCCGCTGAGTCCTCCCTTTTCCGGGTCAAGAAATCCACCAGACCGGGTCTATCAATGATCCGGTGACTTTTTTTTTGTTTGTGTTGTCAGCTCAGGTGGTGTATGAGGCGCTCTACAGGAGCGTGATTTTTAAAATGGTTCATCCTCCACGTCCGCCTCAACGGCTGCAAACACGAGCTCTCCATCGGAAGCCATACATTCCCCCACATGGAGACGATGCTGGCCGGGTTTGGTACTTAGGGTTACATTTGTCCGAGCAGACAAAGTCCGCAAATCGGGGGCTGCGGGTTTTTTCGCTTTGGGTCTGGCCGGTCACGCCATGGCATGCAGCCACCGGGGTGACTGACAGTTGGGGTAGTTCACGTGCTCTCAGCGCTTACCTCCTTAGGCTCTCCAAGCGGGACGTAAGGAGCGCCGAAGGACGCCCAGACGCCCTGTCTGGCCTTCTCCTCCTTAATGGCCGTGTTCTTAATTAGCTCGAACATGCGCGCCTGGCCCTCGTACTCAATCGATTTGGGGTCCGCAAATGGCTGTGGCATACCCGTGTCCTCTACGACAGCGTAGCCCTTGCCAAATTTCTTCGCTCTGACGCTGCCGGGAGTGCGAAACTCCTTAAAGAGAGGGTTCGCGTGCAGCGCCTGACACTCACGCTGCTGTTCGCGAAGCATCTTTCGAATGACCTCCGTATTTTGAGGCTTGTAAGCGGCGATTCCCTTGGGCCCGTCCTCCACATTCGACTGGAGGAACTGCACTCCACCGCCAGCGGCCATTGTTGTTTATCCTCAGAAGCGAATAGATATTTATATAGCAATGCGCTGCAGTAGTTTCACAGACGCTGAGGAGGCAAAGCAACTCTAATTATACTTGGGGCGTCCAAAGGCCTGGAAATCCTAGTTTTGTGAATATGGAGGTATGTTGTTAAAATGATACCCATTTGCATCCCTGTAATGGGTTCAACTATCGACAAGAAACATAGGTTTAACGGAGCCGTCATAAAGACGCAAAGGTGTATTGCATCCGCTGGTATAATTATGTCGATGCCATAATGAATGTATTGGGTTGAGGTTGGGTCTTGGATTGGCTCTCACTCCATGTAACTGTACAATGTTCGTTGCGCTAACCAGACAGCACAAACCAAGTGCATTCTCTTAAGGAAAAGATAACAATATATGCTATTGCTATTCCTGCATTCCGCCGTGCTTGGCTTTGCACTTGGTGTTGTGCGATCGCGTTTATAGTGCTGGCCTAACGCTGCCCCTCGGTGCTTTCGGTAATGCAGACGATCGTTACCTAGGTATTCATTGAACTTTGTCACCTAGCTGTGGCAGGCATTGAGGCGGGAATCGTAGTTATGGCGGCAAGCCAGCTGCTCGCTGCGCTGAATGCGCTGTATCACCATGACGACCCTAAGGTGAAAGATGAAGCTGATCGGTGGCTTGAGCAATGGCAACAGAGCTTGGAGGCATGGTCTGTGGCGGACGGAGTCCTGCATGACCCCAACAGCAGTATGGAGGCGCAATACTTCTGCGCCCAGACGTTGCGCACGAAGGTGTGCAAATTATTTATCGCTGAAAATAATCATGATAATGGAACGACTGGTTGAACGCACTCGGCTGCGCAATTGACATAGCTCCCCCGCTCGCTTTAGCCCGTTTCATCACAAACCCCGCACACCTCATGCTTTTATGCATGTATCGCTTTAGAACGTCTGGGGGAGCACTCTTTGGTGCTTCTTATCTTGCCCTAGCACCGTGCGCCGTTAGGCGGCCGCTGAACAGCCATGTACCACAGCCTCGATCCCAACCTGGGGTTGTGCCAAAGCGCTCACAGAGTTCATCTAGGTCCTTCCCACAACCCAGTCTTGCACCGTGCGCTGCCGCATCTTGCTTTGCCCAACATGTTTTTGAGTCCGCCCCACCCCTACCAGGCTTCCAACTGTACCCACATCACCCTACCTTGATCACGTCCCCCCTCAGCATCATTTTACAAACACGGCTTGCTCCCCAACCAATCCCGTTGCTTATGGCACGTCCCAGTCCCTGCGCCGCGATGGCTTCTTTACGGTGTATCACCTTGGACGTATTGTCGTATTGCCGTACGCAGGTGCAGCGCGATTTCGAGGAGCTCCCGTCGGATGCAGTGGACAGTCTTCGAGACAGTCTCCTGCAGCTGCTCATCCGTTTCAGCAAGTGAGCTATGTGCGAGGGTGTCGGCCCAGGGAGGGATGACCAGGGGTGCAAAGATTTCCATGCCCTGGGCTTGCAAGTATACACCCTCCACAGCATGGGCGCCTTAGGCCGCAACTCCAATTCATCGCAGGACTTTTTCATGTTAGCGCCTCTGCTGCTGCTGCTGCTGCTGCTGTTGTGGCCATTTGGGTCAGCACCTGTTCGATAAGCCCGCCCATTTCCTGGCTGCAGGTATCATAACAGCTTGGACTCTTACCTTTCTTTGACTGGCCTTACACAACTGTAACTACCTCCTCCCACGCTTCTGCACACATTTCAAGACAAACCTCACAATTGCCTGCGTTCACGCACTCATCTTGCCACCCGTCAACCCCAACGACCTCCCTGCCACATCGCGCCTTCCATCCCCATGACTGTCGGGCTGCAGGGGCGCCCCACCCGTGCGCACGCAGCTGTGCCTTGCCCTGGCCGCTCTGGCGGTGCACGTGCCAGCGGCGCGCTGGGGTGAGGGCGGCGTGGTCCGCTGGTTTGCAATCAAGTTCTCCACACTTCCCTCGGACCGGGCGCTTCCTTGCATGCTGGAGCTGCTGACGGTGCTGCCGCAGGTAAGGCTGCAAGACCCTGTATCGAACATATATCTACAGGCAGCTTGTGCATTGTTGTCTTGGTATGCACCGGTTTCTTCAAGCGGTGCTGCTGGCACGAAGGGCGCCGGGACGGCGTTGGAAGGCTGCTGGCGCTGGCAGCTGGCCCGAAGGCCCACAGATGCAAAGCAAAACCCAAATGCCGTGGCGACCCAGATGGAACGCAACAACAAGCAGATTGAGAACACGACTGTTTCCCCTCTTTATTTGCTCTGCAAACGACCTGCAAACAAATGATAAGGAAGCTCTGAATGGCGCAAAGGAAAACGACCCAAATGAAAGAGGTCAGCTAGGAAGCAAGGAGTGAGCTGTCTTCTTTCTTCTTCAAGAAGGGGCCCCCTTTCCCCCCACATCTGGGTCCCGCGGCCTTTCCGTCCACCACCGCTCGCACAGGAGGCCCACAGCTACAAAATCGCGGTGCGGCCCGAACGACGGAGAGCATTTTCTATGGAGCTCCAAGCTAACACGGGGGCGGCCTTTGAGATTCTCACCAGGTGAGATTCTGACCATGGTGGGTGGGTGCAAGGGGGTACTTCCAGGTTACGTTGGCCGATTCGGGCGAGGTGGGTGGGTGAGTGGGTGGGCGGCGGGGGGTTCAGGGGCGCCCGGCTAGCTGGAGGAGCTCCGGCGAGGGAGTTTTTTGCGGTATATGGTAAATAGCTTGCACCGCGCGCAGGAGACGGGGTGCCTGCGTTGTATCTCCGGGGTTGGGAGATCTTCGGACAGGACGTGGCAGGAGGGCAGGGAGCCAGGGCGAGTAGTGGCGTGGGGGGAAATGCAAGGATTGTAGGTTGTGATGTGCAGGTGGTAGGTAGGAGTTTTGAACGCGCAATGGGAGCGCCGGGAGAGGGATAATATGGGAAATTTGGCGGCTGCGAAAAGCGCCGCCTGCTCTGCCACGCCATAGCGCTGAAACCTGCTCAGTATGTATCCCCGACTTCCCAGTCCCAGTCCCAACGAGCAACCGTCCCGCCCCGCTCCGCAGTTGCGTCTCTCAGCCCGGGGAGCGCACTCGCACGCAGGTCCTGGAGGCGTTCGGGTCGTGGCTGAAACTGAACGAGGGCCGCCCGCTGCCCACTATTGCCGCCGCTGCGGCTGCGGCCGGGGGTGCGGCCGGCGGCGGCGAGGACGCGGCGGCCGTGCTGGCTCGCCACCCCTTGGTGGCTGCTTCCCTGGAGGGGCTGCAGACCACTGGGGAGACGTTCCATGCGGCTGTGGACTCGGTGGGTGAGGGGTTAGGGCTGTTGAGGACCCGGTGCGAGGTACGAGTATTAGCGGTCGCGGTTCCAGAGTGGCGTTGGGGAAAGGGGAGGAAGGAGGGGTGGTAAAGGGGAGGGCTTGTGTGAGTTCGACAGTGGTGGTCGAATAGGAAAATGGAGGCGTTTTAGTGTAGCTGTCCCGGGCGCGAAAGGGCGCGCGTCTCCATTTTCCCATCCACCCCCCAACGGGCTTCACCCCTCGTTGACCACCAATTTATACACCAAAACGAAAAATGAACAACGTTAAGCCGCTTCCAGACCTGAGCGACCCAAATCGACCCAACGGGAGCCCCTAATTCTGTTCGATTGCTCGTTAATTAACCAACAACCTAACCGACGCAACCAACAGATCTGTGAGGTCATCTGGACGACAGTAGATTTCAACGTCCAGAGCGCCGGGGCGCCGGGGGACACCAGCGGCGGCAGCCCCGGCGGTGGCGGTGGCGGCGGGCCACCCGCCCTAGCGCAGGCTGCGCTGCCGCTGGTCCAAGCCATCGTGCCCGCGATCATGGGGCTCAGGGGCCGGTTCGCCGTGGCATCCGGGCGCGGCGGTGCGGGTGCGGCCCAGGGCGAGTTTGACGATGATGAGGACACCGCCAAGGGCATGGCCCGTCTGTTCTGCGAGGTCGGGGAGGCCTACCTGTCACTCATCATCTCGGCGGTGGCGGAGGTGAGGAGGGTGTGTGATGGGGCCTTCCACCCGGTGGGGGTCTTAGGGGACTGCGTGCTTTGGTTTCGGAGGTATTACTGCCGGGAAGTGGCGCACGGGAGGGGGGGGTATAGAAGACATCAAGGAAGGGGAGTCGGTGGGGGATTTTTTGAAAACCGTTGTGGAATGTGGAAAGGCGGGGGACCGGCCCCGGTCGACCGCCGTGTGCTCTTCCCGTGAAGCATGTGTGTATGCATGTATGTATGTATGTATGTCCCCCATTCCCGTTCCCGCACCCGCGCAGATAGACCGATGTGTCGCGGGAGTTCACACAGGTTAAGCCCACCTGTCGAGGCCCCCGCACCCCGCTGCTCCCCAACCGCTGCTCCCCAACCGCTGCAATCATCGATCTTACGAGTGATATATGATCATTCTCTCTCTTTTTCCCGTGTTTCATATTTGGGTGTCTCGCCATCGCACGATTCTCTGCCGGCCGCGACCCCAGGTTCGAGCCCCGGTGGAGGCGCTTTTGGAAGTGGCTGCTTACCCGGACTTCGGCATCTGCTCAATGAGCTTCAACTTTTGGCACAGGTATAAAACCCAGCCCCGGCACGAGGCCGCAAGCCCCGCGGGTTGATGAGCTGCTGTAAAGCGAAAGCGGGAAAGGATAGCAATTACGCCGCATTTGGTGTTCCCCATCGTCCACGTCTTCCTTTGCCCCGGCACTCTTCTTTGCCTTCAAATTTTCCTTCTCCGAAACCTGAAACCCCCTTAAAACCCCTTCCAATTCCGCCCCAGGCTCTCCCGGCAGCTGCTTACCGGTATCTCCGCCACCTCATCCGGCGGCACCGGCGGCAGCGGCAGCAGCAGCGGCAATAGCGCAGTGGATGCTGCGGAGCGAGAGCGGCGGCGGCAGTTCTTCCTGCCGGCCTTTGAGAGGCTGGTGCAGCTCATCCGGGGCAGGGTCAGGTGGGACGATGCTGGATGTGTGTAAGGGGGGGGCCCGGGGGCTTATGCAACTAGCAGAAAAGAATATGGTGGGATGGGGAAGGCACGGGAAGGGATCCTGGAACGGTGCGTATGTATGTATGTATGTTGGGGAGCTGCTGTGGGACGCGATGGGAGAGGCCGGTGGGGGGTGGAGAGCAGCATTGGGTGAGGAAAGAGGGCGCATGGTTGCTTGATGGTGGGTGTGTGCGGGTGAAGGGCGGGCTCTTCGGCGCGGGACGTCGACAGTTTCTTCTTCTTCCACTAACCGATCCACTCCAGTCCAGCAGTCATTTCCCTGTGTCTCCCAATAGACCTCCTAGATCCTCCGCGTGTTCCCGCCATCGCGACCATGCCGTACAGGGAGCCCGAGTCGTACAGCAGCTGGTCCAAGGACGAAAAGCACGAGTTCCGATCTGCACGTGACGAGGTAGAGGCCGGGGGGGTTGGGTGAGGGTTGGGGGGCGGTGGGGTGGGGTGGGGTTAGCTATGAGAGACACCCCCCTTGGGTAGGTACGCACAGCAAAACCTTCCCGTACGGCAGCTTCTTACGTACAGCTTCTTACATCCTCAATGTGCGCCTGAGCTGGTCTGTGCACGTCTCCCCGCCTGTATGTTGTATTTGCATTCGGGGCTATTAATACCTTGACCACGGAAATCGAATTGTCCCCATCATTTGTGTGAAATCGATCGTGAATTTGAACGCCCCGTAGGTTGGTGATACGCTAGAGGATTCGGCTGCGGTGCTGGGATTCGGACGCTGTCTGGCGCTGCTAGTTGAGCCTCTGGCGGCGCTGAGCCAGCAGCAGCAGCAGCAACAGCAGCAAGGAGGAGACGCGGGGGCAGCCGGCGGCGCCGGGGCCGGCGCGGCCGGCGGAGGCGGAGGCAATCGTGGGTTCGACTGGCGCACGGCGGAGGCGGCTTTGTTCTGCATCAAGTACGGCGTACGGGACGGACGCAAGGGGCCGCGGCGCGTGGTGCGCGTGGCATTGAAATTTGCTGATGAAAACTTATTGGGGTGGTGATGGTGGCAGGGTTTAGTTCCGGTTATTGATGGTGATGGTTAAGATGATGCTCAAGATGGCTGGGCCGCCTTTTCTCTCCGCGGTGGCGTGGTTTGAAGATTTGGGTTGTTAGCACGTATTTGTTTTTCATCACGTATTCCTTCCGACCTCCCCCCTTTTGGCAGTCACTGGTCAGTTCTGCTTCTTCTACACTCTTTCCTTGGCAGCAACTTCACTCGTTCACGTGGCTCGTCTTTCCCCCCGGGCCCCCGGTGGCACTTGCTAGCCCGCTCCCCTCCCGCTCAGCCAGACCATGTCCCGACTAAAAACGATGTTTGCTTGAACCTCTTAGGGTTCCGAAACCCCAACCCTGCACCTGCACCAATAGACGCACACTCCTGCTGCTGCTGCTGCTGCCGCCGCAGGTCCATTCATCGCCACGCGACCAGCCCCGGGGACCCCTCCCTGCAGCAGCTCCTGGAGGCCCTCCCTGGACTGCCCCGCGACTTCCCCCAGCTTCAGGCCACGGTGTGCAGTACGATAGCCCGGTATGCCCGGTGGCTGGAGAGGTCCATGCAGGTGTGTATGTATGTATGTATGTATGTATGTATGTATGTATGTATGTATGTATGTATGTATGTATGTATGTATGTATGTATGTATGTATGTATGTATGTATGTATGTATGTATGTATGTATGTATGTATGTATGTGACTTAGGTTACACCGTGGGCCGCGAGAGCCAGGGGCCGAAGCCGAAACACAGCGCAAGGGTCGGGAGCACACAGGGGTTAAGACGAACCACTGGTGAATGAAGCCAGAGATACCAGCGATAGTCAGATAGTGCAGGAGAAGACAAGTGATGGGGAGCAGGGGCAAACTGGGTCTGGGTTCCGCTCTGGGCTGATGACGAAGAGTGGGAAGAGCGCGGCATTGCATGGCATGGCA